TCTCTCGAATGAATTTAGAGACTATTTGACGGATAATGGGATTACTTCCCAACTGACTGCGCCAGGCACAACCCAACAGAATGGCGTGGCAGAGCGAAGGAATAAGACTCTTATGAAAATGGTTAGGGCAATGATGAGTTATATTATATTACCAGGATTCGTTTTGGGGATATGCTTTAGAAACAACAATTTATGTTCTGAACAGAGTACCTTCTAAATCAGTACCGTCTACACCATTGGAGTTGTGGTCTGGGCGCAAGCCAAGTCTAAGACATCTCAGGATTTGGGGTAGTCCAGCACATGTGCCGAGAACCGATACTGGTAAGTTAGAGCCTAGAACAGAAGTAAGGCTATTTGTGGGATATCCTAAGGAAACGAAAGGTTGTCTATTTTATAGTCCCAAGGACCAGAAAGTAATCGTTAGCACGAATGCAAGGTTCTTGGAAGAAGATTATGTGTTAGATTACAAGCCAGTAGACATGTCCTAGAGGAGGTAAAGGGAGTGAGTACTTCAATACCGAGTGTGCTAGATGTTACACCACAAAGTACTGCAACACGTATCGCTAATGATGCACCTGAGCAGGTAGTACCTTATCGTAGTGGGAAGGTTGTCCGGCAGTCCGAACGATTCATGGGTCTGGGAGAGTCTTCTGAGGCCGTCCCGGATGTTCTTGAAATCGACCCATGGACATATAATGAGGCACTTCAAGATCGGGACGCAGAGTCTTGGCAAAAGGAGATGAAGTCTGAAATGGATTCTATGGATTCCAATCAGGTCTGGGATCTTGTAGAACCACCCAGTGGCGTGCATGCCATTTGATGCAAGTGGGTCTATAAGAGAAAGAGATGAGCATATGGGAAGGTTGAAACCTTCAAAGCTACGCTTGTTGCGAAAGGGTATACTCAGAAAGAAAGGATCGATTATGAGGAAACTTTTTCGCCGGTAGCTATGCTGAAATCCATCAGGATTCCCGTGGCTGTTGCCGCTCATATGGATTATGTGATTTGACAAATGGATGTTAAGACTGCTTTCCTTAACGGGAATTTAGACGAGGACATCTATATGCAGCAACCAGAAGGATTCATTGCAAAGGGACAAGAGCATCTGGTCTGTAAGCTGAAAAGGTCCATTTATGGACTAAAGCAGGCTTCGAGGTCTTGGAACATCCGTTTTGACGAGGTTGTCCAATCGTATGGATTTACCCAATGTCCGGATGAGCACTGTGTATACAAGAAAAGTGAAGGAAACGTGGTGGTGTTTCCAGTGCTATACGTAGATGATATTCTTCAAACAGTGTGAAAATGTTATTAAACACAAATGTATGGTTATCCAAGCAGTTTGATATGAAAGATTTGGGAGAAGTAGGACATGTTCACGGTATCAAGGTCATTCAGGACCGAGATAAGAGAAAATTGTGCCTATCCCAATCTACATATATAGACACTGTCCTGAAGCGTTTCAACATGCATGATTCAAAGAAAGGGGATTTACCTTTCCGACATGGAATAGCTCTATCGAAGAAGATGTCCCCGAAAACTCCTCAAGAGATAGAGGACATGAAGTCAGTTTCTTATGCATCGGTAATATGAAGCCTCATGTATGCGATGTTGTGTACGCGACCTGATATCTGTTATGCAGTAGGCATGGTAGCAAGATATCAGAGTAATCCAGGGCCGGAACATCGGTCTACGGTAAAGCATATACTTAAGTACCTGAGAAGGACTAAGGAGTATATGCGGATTTACCAGGCAGATGAATTGCTTCCGTTGGGTTACCAAGGGTGATTCCTATTTTATTAGAATGACATAGTCGGTACTCTGGTAAATAAGAATGTTTATATGACGAGCTATTATAAATTATTTATGGTACCATGTTCCAGTGCGCTGGATTGATGACGTCCCCGAAATGAGCTCAGGAAGGAATATTGTTAAACCCTGCAGGTGGATATTTATCCGACACAATGATTAAAGTTCTGAGTGGTACTAATTTCGGAAATAAATAAGACTTCGATTAATTATCTTGTTAGTAATTTAATTAATCCACAGACGTTATATCTTAAACATGGGGAGGTAAATCGATCAATTAGATTAATATTTTATTAATCAAGTGGAGGTTTAATTTAATTGATTAAATTGAAGCAAAATAGGGAGAGTTATAATAATATTCTAGTGGAATATATTATTATTTAATTTTATTAGAATTTTAGGAATTAATTTTATTCCATATTTATTATTCCATGAGAAAGGGAATATTCCTTCTAGAATATTACCTAGGGTTAGGAGACTAGAGAGTCTTCTAGAAGGTGATGTTAGGAGAAAGGAATCATGACCTAATATATTAGTTTATGGAGTGGAATTAGGATTCCTTGGCCTAATGGGACAATCCCATATTTGGCACCTCCTTAAGGTCCCAAATGGAGCCTATAAATACACCATGTCCCAACCTCTTGAGACAATGTGCTATGGCCGATTTTCTCACCTTCAAGAGAGGGAGAATTGTCTTGCTCGAGAGTTAGGGAGATTCAATTAATCGCACCACCAAGATTAATTGAAATAGGTGTTTAGGTAATCCATTAGAAGGCTTTAAGGTGATATTATATTAAACCCTAAACCTTTATATTTTCCGGCCATCTTCCCCAGCCGACCGCCGCCGTGTGCTGACGTCGTCCTCGTCGAAAATCCGCCGTTGCCGCCGATCGCGACCAAGACCTCGCCCGAGCTCAGCCGCACGCAACCGCGAGCCCCGCCTGCAGTCGTGCACAGCCAAACATCGCGCCCCGATCTAAGCCGCGAAGTCCCTTGCCGATCGTCTTGCTCGTGTCTCGCAGTCCCTGCTCGCGATCATCGTCCCCGATACCAGCGACCGCGATCCACGCGCCCAGCTTTCCTCGTGCGCCCAGGAGACTTGCCGCGCACGTTCGCCCAACACGTGCCTGTTTTCCTTGCTCGCCCAGGACACGTAACACGCACGCGCCCGCTCGCCTCGCGCCAGCGACCGCCTGTGACCTAGTCCCGCGCGTCACGCCATGACACGCACCCGCCAGCACCCGCGACCCGTGCCAACTGGTCCCGATCAGCTGCAATCCGCGACCTGTGACCGCGACCGAAGCCGCTGCAACCCGATCCGACCCGAAACTGATCCGAACCTGCCCAACCGGCCTGAGTCCAAGAAGTTCGTTTCGGTGATTTGTTCGTGATTCAACACTCGACTAGAGTCAACAAAAGCCAAACTCTTCAACCAATTGAGTTGTGGTAATCAGACGATCTCCATCAAAGGAAATCAGAAACGTCTCTGAGTCTGCAAAAATTTTAAAAGATAATGTCCTAATCCTAGTTATAGATTCCACTGCGTTAGGATTTATTTCGATAAGTTCAATACTGTGCATGTCGTTGACGTTCCTCATAGAACCCAACAGCTAGGCGCCGGGATGATCACCTCGCTGCCCCTCGAAGGGGGACGGGCGGACTCACAATTCCCAGAGCAACGTAGCGTTCTACCGGGCCCAAGCACGTTCAACCCCAGTCGTCGACCGCCGACTAATCCTCGACCGCCCATACCAGAGGTCAAGCGGCTATCGTTCGAGGAAATACGTAGGCGATGCGAGAAAGGCCTATGTTTCAAGTGCGAGGAGAAGTTTGTACCCGGCCACAGGCGCAAGCAGGCATTTGTGATCGACGTGGTTGAGTCTGATGAGGGAGATCCAGTAATAGACGAGTCGGAAGTGGACGAGGTTGAGGCGCTCAAGGAGGAGGCTGAGATCTCGATGCATGTGATGGCCGGTACGCAAGGGCCGATGACGATGCGACTACCCGCGTGGGTCAGGGACCGCCGCGTGGTCGTACTCGTCGACAACGGTTCATCACATAATTTTATCAACGCTACGCTCTCATAAGATTTCTTGATTGTTTAGGACACTTAATATTTTATTGCTTTATTAGAGTTATAGCTAGATTAGGACTAGATCTATTTGATGCCTATATAAAGGCCCTTCCTCTTGCTATTTTTTATCATTGAAAATCATAATACAAAAACCGAACTTTTGTTCAAACACTTTGCCTTAGATTTCTTCTTGATTTCTTTTGCAATTTTATTTCGTTTCAAGGGGCGCGGGTGTGTGAACCTCCGAGACATTTATCGTCGGTTCAAGGCACGAGTGTGTGGCTTATCGGCAATCAGGACACGCGATCTTCATCATTGGTGCTTTCATTGAGAGAATCTAGATCGTGTGTCTTTTCTTTTCCCATTCTTTTTCTTTCCCATCCTTTTACTTTCGAAAGAAACAAAAAAAAAACAAAAAAAAACAAAAAAAGAAAATATATATATGTATATATATATATGGGACGGATCCAATGAGACCACTCCTTAAAATGAGTACGTGAGACTCAATCTTAGCCACTCATTTTGTCTAGATCAAAATCAATTAAAATATACATTAATTAAATAATAAAATAATTATTAGTTGACTCTGGCGTTGACCGTTGACTTCCGGCGTTGACCGTTGACTTCCGGTGTTGACCGTTGACTTCCGGCGTTGACCCGTTGACAAATAACCTAGCAGCAAGAAATAATAACCTAACAACAAAAGACACTCAACCTTGAGTGGTGTAGTGGTTGCATTGCTTGTCTTGCTTCCATCAGGTACCAGGTTCAAATCCTATGGGTTACAATTTTTTTATAAAAAAAAACCTAGCAATAAAAGACAACTAACCTAGCAGCAAGAAAGAAATAACCTAGCAATAAAATACAAATAACCTAGCAGCATCAGACAACTAACCTAGCAGCAAGAAAGAAATAACCTAGCAACAAAATACATAAATAAACAAAGTGATATGCTCTCCCTTCTCTCTTACTTTCTCTCTCTAAAAACCCATCTTCCCCAAATATTCGTCTTTCTCCAGTCTCCTTTTCCGGCAAGCTTCACGCCGGCGGGCCTCCTTCACCGCCGCCTCTGGCGGCGCGCCGCCTGACCCTCCCTTCTTTAGCAGCGCCTCATCCATTCATGGAGTCTATCCCGTCGTCACCTCCACCCGCACCCACCTTCACGGAGCAGTCCACCATCCGTCCTCCTCTTCCTCGTCCGCAACCAACGGTGGTCACCTCTGAGTGGTCGTCTCTAGCCCCCTCCGATTTATCCTCTTTAATTGCTATAGAGGTGTCAAAAGCTATTCATGATATTTTGCCGTCGATCTCAAGGTTGGAGGAGGGAGAAATCCCGACCTCAACATCCGGCAACCCGTCGAGCCCTCTCGAGACCCACCTTAGATCTGGCTAAACCTCGGCACATCTCAACCTCAGCTCACATCACCGTCTCAGAGAAGCCCTCCGTCACAGACCTGCCGCTTCTGCCTAATATCCACCGGAACATCTCAGCCGCCGTTGACACCTCACCGGTTAGAAATGCGGTCGACATATCTCCGGTTGAAAACATAGTTCCGATTGCGTTTGGGACCTTGTCATCGGAAGCCCTATGTCAGGTTACACAAAAGTCAAAACATGGAAGCGACGATGCAGAGAACATTTCCCCTCAGCTGCGTTTCGATTTGGGCCCTCAGCTCCCTCTTAATCCGAGTGGGCCTAACAACTTCAAAACTAGCCCATCATCCCATTTTGAACCCATCACTCAAATCCAGCCCCTTAGTCCACATCAACGTCCAACAAACCTCTACTCTCAGGCCACATCAACATCCCATCCCAGCATCCAACCCATCTATCAGCCCATCCCACAGTCCAACATTGTCTCCCAGCCCACTTCCGCCCCTCAGTCCGTAACCAAACAGCAAATCACCCAAGCTGAAACCTGCCACACTCAACCGGTAGTCGATGTCAACGTGCCTTGCGCCGGCGACGGCGCCGGAACGGTCGCCGGAATTTCAAAACCGGCCAGCGATACATCCGGGGCTGCCATGAAGACGGTCTCTATGGCCGGAATCCTCGGACCAAGGCCAAATTCAACCTCGCCGCCAAACACCTCGCCGGAATAGCCATTTCGATAGCTGAAGAAACCGAACCAGCCACTTTGTACGTTCGCAAGGATGGAGTGGTCGTTACGGGCCTGGACACGTTGTCCGCTCCTCAGGTGACCGAACTCTCCCCGATCGAGACACCACCGACGGGCCCCACCACGGCTAACCCCTCTGCAACCGGGTCTCTCCCGAAAACCTCCAATGGCCCGCTTTCATTCCGTGAAGCTATTACCGGGAAGATAAATGGCGGCACGGCCGGACCACGTCCGACACTTAAGGATTTTATCTTTGACGGGGGATACGAGCATGCCTGCGGGACCATTATCCGCTCGGAGGGGAACAAAGTGAAGGCACGATACACTGAAGCCGCATCTGTTGCTCTTGCAGGTAAGCTAGCTAACACTCTGGTCGTTAAGTTTTCATATGCTATCCCCGCTCCCCGAGATATATCTGCTGGTTTAGGTAAATTGGGCTTTAAGGGTAGGGTGTCGTCGAAGTGGTACAATTTCAACCACCTCCTAGTGTCTTTCCACCTCCCCGAGGACTATAACGAGGTCTGGCTTAAGACCTCGATTCATTTGTGTGGATGCCCAGCTAGGGTGTTCAAATATTGTGCTGGGTTTAACCCGAAGACGGAGGCGCCGGTTGTCCCCGTGTGGTGCCGCCTTCCCGGCCTACCACCCCATCTTTACGATCGTGCTGCCATCACTACACTAGCTAAGTGTATTGGGCAGCCGATTCGTATCGACACCCCGACGGCCCTTCAGACGAGGGCTAACGTGGCGCGATTTTGCGTCGAGATAGACCTGAGAGCTGAGCTCGTTCACGAGATTGAGATTGAACAGGGCTCGGAGTCTTTTGTTCAGCGGGTGATCTATGAGAAGATCCCCGCGTTCTGCACCTCGTGCAGCCATGTGGGTCATGTCGCGGCCGATTGCTACATCAGTGGCAATAAGCCACGGCCCGCCCTCCCGCAGCGCCATCGTGCGACCCAGCAGGGAACCTCCACCAGCCGGAGGGACCCGAAGGGAAAGGGCAAAAGCCCTCTCCGTGCGCCCGAGACCCCGAAGGGGTCTAACGATAAGGGCAAGGCTGTGATTGTTGATACTGCCCAAACTGGGAAGGATGCTCATCCTAACCAGCCTAAGCAGTTGGCCTTAGTGGGTCCCAAGCCCAAGACCACGGGTTTTATCCCCATACACACCTTACAGACGGCCTTCAAGGCCAACCACTCGTATTTCGCTATTCTCTCCCCTGAGGCAGAGAAGAAGACTGTTCCTTTCTCCAGCAGGCCATCTAAGAGTACCGACTTTACGTTTCTGGATGACGATGACCTCCTTGGAGACGACATGGACCAGCCGGACGTCACGCCCAGGAGAGAGTCCATCCACCTATCCGATGATAGTGTGCGCGATGCTGGTCCTTTGACCGTGCGCGCATCTAGCCCGGTCCGATCTTTGGATTCGAGGGCTACTGCCGCCACCGCTCACCCGAAAGGGGATGAGTCGGCCTACCCCATCCCTGCCGAGATTCGGAGTTCGGTCGAGCTGATAGCCAGCTCCCAGCCTCCTCCTACCGGCGAGCACCCGAGTGCTCTGCCTGTTGGACCATCTCTTTCACCCATCCCCGAGCAAATATGCGGGCTCAACTGCGCGCAGCATGATGTCTCGTGCGAGAGCTTTGCCTCTAGTGCATTTCTTCACCTTGACAGACAGGAGACAGCCCCGGAGATGGGGCAACCCGCTAGCGCTGCTATAGGCCAGCCTGTCCAGCCAGACGACTCTCAGGCCACGAGTACATACCGAGGCAGACAGACCTCGAGGACCAGAGCCACGCAGCACACGAGGCAGCGGACGATCTCCCCTGCTATTGGACCCTTCCGCCGCACGACACGACGGACGATCTCCCATTCTTTAGGTGGCCCGAATCAGCCTCGCCATAGGCGGACTACGTTCGGTGGCTCTTGCGACCGTTGATATGTCCATCACATCCATTACTTGGAATGGCCGTGGCCTCGCGAACAGGGCTACTCTTTCTCACCTTCATTCTCTCATTCGTGACCACAGAGTCGATTTTGTTGGTTTTATTGAGCCGATGATTCGCACTCCTTCTTTTGACTACTACTCGCGTCGTCTGGGCTTCCACTCGGGCGTGGGTAATATTTCGCACAAGATCTGGTTTTTTCACTCGCGTGACTACACTTGTCGGGTCCTCCGCGACACCGATCAGGTGCTTCACGTAGAGATTTCCGCTGACCACCTCCCGGAGCCCATCTTTCACACCTTGGTATATGCCAAGTGTACTAGGGTCGGGCGATATGACCTTTGGGACACCCTGCGTGAGATTGCCGAGAGTATGGAGGGATTGCCATGGATGGTTAGTGGCGATTTCAGCATCTTTCTGCATCCCGATGAGCGTGTGGGTGGCCGCACGGACCGGTCACGGGAGATGTGGGATTTTGCCCAGGCAGTGGCGGACTGCGAGTTAATTGACGCTGGATGTGATGGTGAGCCCCTCACGTGGGTGAGGGACGGACTCAAAGAGAGGTTAGACCGTGCCTTAGTTTCTGAGGCGTGGTCGAAGGTGTTTGCGGTTACGACCGTCACACACCTTACTCGATTCGGGTCCGACCATTCACCCCTTCTCATCCGGTGCTGATTTTCGAGCACCCACCGCTGCCCTTCGTTTAGGTTCCAGAACATGTGGGTTCGCCACCACTCCTTCCACGACACTGTCAGGGATTCCTGGCTTCAGCCGACTGGGCTCTTCGGGATGCGCAATCTCGAGGCGAAGCTCGGCAGACTGTGGCGTCGGTTGAGACAGTGGAACTGGGATGTTTTTAGAAACCTTCACCAGCGCCTTGCTGCGGCTCAGAGTGCGCATGCGACGGCTGAACGGGCCTATGACCTGGACCCCACTCCGGAGAATAGGACTGCCATGCACCGCTGCCACGCCGAGTACCAGCTCCGACTCCTCATGGAAGAGGATTTCTGGAAGCAGAAGGCGGCCGTTCGTTGGGTGGCCGAGGGCGAGCGGAACACTAGGTTTTTTCAGGGCTACGTTAGGCAGAAGCGTGCTAAGTCGTACATCCATAGTATCGAGGCTGATGGGTCGTCCTTGACCCAGGAGGCTCAGATTCGGGAGTCGGCTGTTGCTCACTTCCAGACCCTCTTCACCTCTGACAGAGGGTCCCTCTTGGCCCCGACCGCTTCTTTTTTCCCCACCATCCCTCCTTCGGTCGATCTCATTGGCCTCTGTGAGCTCCCGAGCAGGGAGGAGGTTAGGGATGTTGTATTCGGGATTGATCCCAACAGCGTTTCTGGCCCGGATGGTTTCTCCTCCCTCTTCTATCAGGTCTGCTGGGATCTTGTCGAGACTGACGTCGAGGAGGCGATGTTGGATTTTTTCTCCGGCCACCGGATGCCGGATTCCTTCACGTCTACCTCTGTCGTCTTGATCCCCAAACGACCCAACCCGAACTCTTGGTCCGATTATAGGCCCATCAGCCTGTGTAATGTGACCAACAAGCTCATTTCGAAGATTCTTAATGGCCGTCTTTCCCCTCTTCTCCCCTCCCTCATCTCTCCGAACTAGAGTGGATTCGTCAAGGATCGGGTCATTAGTGATAACATCCTTCTGGCCCAGGAGATGATCCACGTCATCTCCCGAGCGGACTGGAAGCGGGCTCCGAATATCGCGCTGAAGCTACACATGGCTAAGGCGTATGATAGGGTTGAGTGGCCGTTTCTTAGGGAGGCGTTGGCTAGGATGGGATTTCCTGAGCGGTGGATCAGCTTTGTGGAGGCGTGTGTGGAGCATTGCACGTTCTCGGTCCTGATTAATGGCAGCCCCACCGATTTCTTTCCCTCCTCTAGAGGCCTTAGACAGGGCGACCCCCTTTCCCCTTCCCTGTTCGTTCTTGCGGCGGACTACCTCTCTCGCTGCCTTGACGGCTTCATCCGCGACTCTCCCCATATGACCTATAGCACCCGTGGCTATGGTCCTACCATCTCTCACCTCTCTTATGCGGATGACATCATTATCTTCACCCGGGCGGATGATGATGGACTGGTCGAGCTTATGTGCCTTTTGGAGCACTATGGATTGGTCACCGGTCAGCTGGTCAGTGTGCAGAAGAGCACACTGACCTGTTCGGCCCGAGACTGGACAGGCTGCACGCCACCGCATCGCTACATGGTGGCCCCACCACCGCCTGTTCGGCCTCCACGGGCCAGAGCTGTTGTTTGGCTTCGACCTGACTCTCCGTGGGTCAAGCTGAACACTGATGGCTCATTTAATCGCCACACTGGACTTGCCGGAGGAGGAGGCTTGATTCGGGACCATAGCGGCGCCCTTATCACCGCCTTCCACGCGTCCATTCAGGCCTCCTCGAGCTACGATGCAGAGATTCAGGCACTACAGATTGGCCTTCAGATTGCTGTCCACCTCTCTAGTCATATATGGATCGAGCTGGATGCTGCGGCTGTCGCCACCCTCCTGACTTCGGGCCATCAGGGATCGTGGCAGATTCAGCACCCGCTTCTGCGCATTAGAGATCTACTTCAGTCAGTCCACCACAGGATCACGCACATTTTTCGTGAGGGGAACAGACCGGCCGATTACCTGGCCAGCCTTGGCGCCACCATACCAGGCACACATAAATTCCAGACCGACACTGCTCCACTCCGCTTTCGCACTCTTGTACGGATGGACCAGCTTGGATATCCAGCTTTCCGCTTTCGGTAGCTTAGGATTTCTATTTTCTTTAGTATAGACATACCTGTCGGGCATCTGTTAGCCCGAAGATCGACTTGGTATTGTAGTTTTTGGTTCTTTTTGTTTTTCAGTTTTTCTTTTGTTTTTGATCTTGATTAGTGAGACTCTGTAAACTTTTGTATCTTGCTCGTTGATAGTTGGGCTCCCGGCTTTGGGGCCTTGATCTATGTACAGGTTGGGGATCCAGCTCAATCCCCCTCCCCCCCTTCCGGGGCGTTGTTTTTTTTAAAAAAACTTAGCAGCATCAGACAACTAACCTAGCAACAAAACACAACTAACCTAGCAACAAAAGACAACTAACCTAGCAGCAAGAAAGCACTTAGAACTAACTTAGCAATAAGATAGAAAATCCAAATGCTCTCACCTCTCACTAGTTTTCTCTCTCTACAATTTTCACCGTCCACTTCTGACCACAACCGCCTCCTCTCCGCTCCACAGCCACCACTACTGCCTATCTCTCCCACCCGGCCGCCGGCGGCGGCGGCCACACCGGCCAACCGCCGTTAGAGCCATCTTCCTCTCTCTTTTCTAGCTCGCAGCTATGGCACCTTCTCCCCCCCCATTTCCGTCAACCTCTTCTCCGCCCCTCCAAGCTCCGGCTAACCTCTCAAATGATTTTCTCAACTTACTCAAACTCCCAGAATTCCAACAATTTGTCGCGAATTTCCTGGGCAAACATTCAAATATCGAAAATGGGGAGTCTCATCCATCCGACACCATAAAGACAACCAGTCACAACGACACAAATTCAGATTCTTGGCCGATTTTTGGGACTTTATCGTCGGAGAAGATAATATCTGGTGCAAGAAAATGTCATCCCACCGGCAATCCTTTGGTCGGAATCGGTGCGTTGGAAGAAGGAGAAATCACTCCTTCAGTTGGACGCTCGCAGGGTGGCACCATCGTCGGAACTTCAGAGAACCGTTCCTTACAGTCGGAGATTCCGCCTTTGAGGTTGCCGTCGGCCATTCAAAACACATCTCTGAAAAGCGGCGAAGCAAAAACCGAAAACCCTCAGCTCATTATTGAAGGTGACAAAATCACACCCCTACACGTGGCAAACCAATCTCTCATTGGGCCAAAAACCATCATTCGACTTGGGCCTACTTCACAGGTACCAATTCACAACTTTGCTGAACCTTTTAATCAACAAAAGGGCCCATTATCCCTTTCTACCTCAACCTCAATCTTTCAGCCCGCCTCAACTCATAATCAGCCCACCAAACCAAAATCTCAGCCCACGGGACTTAAGCCCAACTCCATAACCGCCATCATCCAAACACCTCCCATCTACTCTACCTTGCAGCCCAAACCTCAGCCCGCTTACTCTCAACAACAGCAAGCTGCTTCCGCCCAACAGCAAGCCTCCGCGCATCGGACCTCTGCCATCGCCGGCGCCGGCCCCGTCACGGCCGCCGGTAATGCTCAGCCGGCCGACTCCACGACCGGAATCCTCGGTCCCCGACCAAACTCACCTCCTCCGACCAACCACCTCACCGGAGCTACCATCCCTTCGGCCGGAACGTCGCACCCGAACATCATGTATGTGAGAGAAGACGGAGTGGTGGTTGCGGAACCACAGACGGGCCCCCCCAAGGCTAACCCCGCCGCAACCGGGTCTCTCTCGGGCACCTCAACTGGCCCACTCTCTTTCCGGGAGGCGATTACGGGAAAGAAAAATGTTCATAGGGCCGGGCCACATCCGACGGCCAAGGATTTTGCCTTTGACGGAGAATACGAACATGCCTGCGGAACCATCATCCGATCGGAGGAGAACAAAGTCAAGGCCCGATTCACCGACGCCGAATCTGTTGCTCTCGCAGGTAAACTAGCTAACACTCTGGTCTTTAAGTTTTCATATGCTATCCCCGCTCCCCGAGATATATCTGCTGGGTTAGGAAAACTGGGCTTTAAGGGTAGAGTGTCGTCGAAGTGGTACAATTTCAACCACCTTCTAGTGTCCTTTCGCCTACCTGAGGATTATAACGAGGTCTGGCTTAAGACCTCGATTCATTTGTGTGGATGCCCAGCTAGGGTGTTCAAATATTATGCCGGGTTTAACCCGAAGACGGAGGTGCCGGTCGTCCCCGTGTGGTGCCGCCTTCCCGGCCTCCCACCCCATCTTTATAACCGTGCTGCCATCACTACACTAGCTAAGTGTATTGGGCAGCCGATTCGTATCGACGCCCCGACGGCCCTTCAGACGAGGGCTAACGTGGCGCGATTTTGCGTCGAGATAGATCTGAGAGCTGAGCTCGTTCATGAGATTGAGATTGAACAGGGCTCGGAGTCTTTTGTTCAGCGGGTGATCTATGAGAAGATCCCCGCTTTCTGCACCTCGTGCAGCCACGTGGGTCATGTTGCGGCCGATTGCTACATCAGTGGCAATAAGCCACGGCCCGCCCTCCCGCAGCGCCATCGTGCGAACCAGCGGGGGCCCTCCACCAGCCGGAGGGACTCGAAGGAAAAGGGCAAAAGCCCTCTTCGCGAGCTCGAGACCCCAAAGGGGTCTAAGGATAAGGGCAAGGCTGTGATTGTAGATACTGCCAAAACTGGGAAGGATGCTCACCCTAACCAGCCTAAGCAGTTGGCCTTAGTGGGTCCCAAGCCCAAGTCCACGGGCTTTCTCCCTAGACAGACCTTACAGACGGCCTTCAAGGCCAACCACTCCTATTTTGCTATCCTATCCCCTGAGACAGAGAAGGAGTCTGCCCCTTCCTCCAGCAGGCCACCTAAGATTACCGACCTTACGATTCTGGATGACGATGACCACCTTGGAGATGACATGGACCAGCCGGACGGCACGACCAGGAGAGAGTCCATCCATCTATCCGACGATAGTGCACGCGATGCCGGTCCTTCGACCGTGCGCGCATCTTGCCCGGTCCGATCTTCGGATTCGAGGGCTACTGCCGCCACCGCCCCCCCGAAAGGGGATGAGTCGACCCACCCCATCCCTGCTGAGATTGGGAGCTCAGTCGAGCTAATAGCCAGCTCTCAGCCCCCTCCTACCAGCGAGCACCCGAGCGCTCTGCCGGTTGGACCCTCTCTTTCGCCCATCCCCGAGCAGATATGCGAGCTCAACCGCGTGCAGCATGACGTCTCGTGCGAGAGCTTCGCCTCTAATGCTTTTCTTCACATTGACAGACGGGAGACAGCCCCGGAGATGGGACAACCCGCTAGTGCTGCTATAGGTTAGTCTGTCCAGCCAGACGACTCACAGGCTACGAGTACATACCGAGGCAGACAGGCCTCGAGGACCCGAGCCATGCAGCATACGAGACGGCGGACGATCTCCCCTGCTATTGGACCCTTCCGCCGCACGACACGACGGATGACTTCCCATTCTTTAGGTGGCCTGAATCAGCCTCGCCATAGGCGGACTATGTCCGGTGGCTCCTGCGACCGTTGATATGTCCATCACATCCATTACTTGGAATGGCCGTGGCCTGGCGAACAGGGCTACTCTTTCTCACCTTCATTCTCTCATTCGTGACCACAGAGTCGATTGTGTTGGCTTTATTGAGCCCATGACTCGCACTCCTTCTTTTGACTACTACTCGCGTCGTCTGGGCTTCCATTCGGGCGTGAGTAATATTTCGCACAAGATCTGGTTTTTCCACTCGCGTGACTACACTTGTGGGGTCCTCCGCGACACCGATCAGGTGCTTCACGTAGAGATTTCCGCTGCCCATCTCCCGAAGCCCATCATTCACACCTTGGTTTATGCCAAGTGTACTAGGGTCGGGCGATATGATCTTTGGGACACCCTGCGTGAGATTGCCGAGAGTATGGAGGGATTGCCGTGGATGGTTAGTGGCGATTTCAACATCTTTCTGCACCCCGATGAGCGCGTGGGTGGCCACACGGACCGATCCCGAGAGATGTGGGATTTTGCGCAGACTGTGGCGGACTGCGAGTTGCTTGATGCTGGATGCGAGGGTGAGCCCTTCACGTGGGTTAGGGACAACCTCAAGGAGAGGCTCGACCGTGCTTTGATTTCTGAAGCGTGGTCGAAGGTGTTTGCGGTTACGACCGTCACGCACCTCACTCGATTTGGGTCTGACCATTCACCCCTCCTCATTAGATGTCCTTTTTCGAGCACTCCTCGCCGCGCTTCCTTTAGGTTCCAAAACATGTGGGTTCGCCACCACTCCTTCCACGACACTGTCAGGGATTCCTGGCTTCAGCCGACTGGGCTCTTCGGGATGCGCAATCTCGAGGCGAAGCTCGGCAGATTGCGGCGTCGGTTGAGACAGTGGAACTGGGATGTTTTTGGAAACCTTCACCACCGCCTTACTGCAGCTTAGAGTGCGCATGCGTCGGCTGAGCGGGCCTATGACTTGGACCCCACTCCGGAGAATAGGACCGCCATGCACCGATGCCACGCCGAGTACCAGCTCCGACTCCTTATGGAGGAGGACTTCTGGAAGCAGAAGGCGGCCGTTCGCTGGGTGGCCGAGGGCGAACGGAACACTAGGTTCTTCCAGGGCTACGTTAGGCAGAAGCGTGCTAAGTCGTACATCCATAGCATCGAGGCTAATGGGTCATCCGTGACCCAGGAGGCTCAGATTCGGGAATCGGCTGTTGCTCACTTCCAGACCCTCTTCACCTCTGACAGAAGGTCCCTCGTGGCCCCGAATGCTTCTTTTTTCCCCACCATCCCTCCTACGGTTGACCTCATTGGCCTCTGTGAGCTCCCGAGCAGGGAGGAGGTTAGGGATGCTGTATTCGGGATTGATCCCAACAGCGTTTCTGGCCCGGATGGTTTCTCCTCCCTCTTCTATCAGGTCTGCTGGGATATTGTCGAGACTGACGTCCAGGAGGCAATGTTGGACTTTTTCTCCGGCCACCGAATGCCGGATTCCTTCACGTCTACCTCTGTCGTCTTGATCCCCAAACGACCCAACCCGAGTTCTTGGTCCGATTACAGGCCCATCAGCCTGTGTAACGTGACCAACAAGCTCATTTTGAAGATTCTTAATGGTCGTCTTTCCCCTCTTCTCCCCTCTCTCATCTCTCCGAACCAGAGTGGATTCGTCAAGGATCGGGTCATTAGTGATAATATCCTTTTGGCCCAGGAGATGATCCACGACATCTCCCGAGCGGACTGGAAGCGGGCTCCGAATATCGCGCTGAAGCTGGACATGGCTAAGGCGTATGATAGGGTTGAGTGGCCGTTTCTTAGGGAGGCGTTGGCTAGGATGGGATTCCCTGAGCGTTGGATCAGCTTTGTGGAGGCGTGTGTGGAGCATTGCACGTTCTCGGTCCTGATTAATGGCAGCCCCACCGATTTCTTTCCCTCATCTAGAGGCCTTAGACAGGGCGACCCTCTTTCCCCTTCCTTATTCGTCCTTGCGGCGGACTACCTCTCTCGCTGCCTTGACGGCTTCATCCGCGACTCTCCCCGCATGACCTATAGCACCTGTGGCTATGGTCCTACCGTCTCTCACCTTTCTTACGCTGATGACATCATTATCTTCACCCGGGCGGATGATGATGGACTGGTCGAGCTCATGCGCCTTTTGGAGCACTATGGCTTGGTCACCGGTCAGCTGGTCAGCATGCAGAAGAGCACCTTCATCCTTTCATCTGCCACAGTGGACATGTGGGCTCAGAGGGTCCACGACATTACTGGCTTTGCGCGTGGCGACCTTCCCATTACCTACCTCGGGGTCCCTTTATATAAGGGCAACCTCACGAGAGCGCTCTTTGCGGGCGTCAGACAGAGGATGATCGACAGGATCTCTGGTTGGTCGCATAGATATCTTTCTTTCGGTGGTCGGCTAGCGCTGATCAAGAGCACTCTTAGCTCTCTTCCGATT